TTAGTTTGGGGGAATGTTGGTTTTGGCATAGCCATCCAGTGATTAAAAGTCTGGTCTACAGCAATGAAAAATAAGGCTAACAATACAGATTTAGGAATTGATCGAATGAAGTTAAAGTTGAAGCTATTAGTATACATAAAATTGCAGAACTTGAAAGTGTAAATAAAAAACAAATATGGATCAAGAATATACCTTGGAGAATTTCTGCTTTCAAAGTGTAAAAAAGGAAGAGGTAGAGGCTGAGCAGCAACACGTGCAGAGAGAGACAAGCAGGGAGCTCACTGTCATATACGATGGTAGTCAGCAGAAGAGAAAGGTCAAAGAAGAGGAACGATGAGAGAAAGACATGAAAACTGAGGGTTCGCCCTTCATCTGGGCCTGCCAGGTTGAACAGAATATAATGGCAATTGAGTATCAAGATGAATAACGAAAATGTAGTCTATCTACATAATAGTATACTACTTAACTATAAAAAAGAATGAAATCCTGTCACTCACAGCAACATGGATGGAACTGGAGAACAGAATGTTAAGTGATAAGCCAAGGACAGAAAATTAAATGTCACATGTTCTCACCTAAATATGCAAGATATAAAATGTTGATCTCACAGAAGTAAAAATTAGAACAAATACTAGAAGGTGGGAAGGTAAGGAGAAAGAGAGGGATAGGCAGAGCTTTGTTAAAGGAAGCAGAATCAGAGCTAGGTAGGTGGAATAAATTCTAGTGTTCTTTATCACGGTAGGATGAATATAGTTAACAGTAATCTATAGTTTCAAATAGCTAAAAGGAGGTTACGAAACATTCCTAACATAAAGAAATAATAAATTTTTGACATGATGGCTATGCTAATTACCCTGATCACTATACATTATGTGTATCAAAACGTCACTATGTACCCAATAAATATGTATTATTATGCGTACATACCTATTCTCATGCATCAATTGAAAAAAAAAGTGTAAGACAAAGAATTATGTGGTGAAAACTATGTAAGGGATAATTCAGTAATATGAGGTCATTAAAAAAATTACTCTTAGGCTAAAGAAGATCTGACCACACTTACAGAAAACAAAAATTCAACGAAGGAAAAGAAGACAAAGATATAATAAAAATGGGGAGAGGGCAGCATTGGTGTTCAGTGCCGTAAGGAAAAATGATATCAAAATAACTTACTTGCTCATCAAACAGTTCTTGAATACCACATTTCTGGTAGTGTATTCTCAGAGCGGTTAGAGTTAGTCTTTTCAACCAACCTTACCTTCATTCTGTTTAGAAGACATTTCATGTGTTTGTTCATCTGTGATTAAGAGTGAAGCTGCAATATTTCAGTACTGATAGTAAGGCCCTCAAAGGGTAGGCCTGAAAATTTGGAAACCATAAGACCAGAAAAAAGAAAGATAAAGTAAATGAAGATAAAAATAAATGTATTAATATCTGCGAAATATCTCAAAACATTAGGTATCTGAAATTTTCTGTATGTCTTATTATGGCATACAGCAAGAGCTGGTAAACTATGGCCCACAGACTAAATCTGAACTACTGCCTGTTTGTGTAAATAAAGTTTTATTAAAATAGAGCCAGACTCATTTGTTTATATATTGGCCATGGCTACTTTCCTGCTATAGTGGCAGAGATGGCTGAGTTGCTGAGTTTCAATAGAGACTGCATGGCCCAAAGCCTAAATATTTATTATTTGGTCTTTTGCACACAAAAAAACATTGGCTAACACTTATTATATCAAGACAAAAGAAGTTTGTTTGCATCTTGGCCAATTATCTTTCAGTTAAACTCTTCATGTGAGAGGTTTAAATTCACGTACAATTATTTATATACCCACCCAGAATATCAATATTCATAATTTCCAATGCTTCCTGTAGAAAGATTACACAGTACAAATTACCATATAATTTTTGTTCATTTTTGATCCTTCACAGCAATACCTTTTGAAATGTAACTTTCAAATGCTGAATGACTGATTTCAGAGATTTCTTTATATATACTTTTCTACCCTATTCTACAGGGAATAATTTATGTAACAGAAGAATTTGATTCCCTATCATATTTTTAATTCTGGTTATTTTGTAATAATATTTGTTTAGTCCTTTTATAAAAATCCTAAACCCCATTGTCCTAACCCGATATCATTTTCACTCTGTTAAATATACAATTTACAAGATTTTCTTAATATGGTTTAAGGTTGTAACTGAGCAATTTCATTCATAATATCAACATCTCATGGCATTGTGCAGAGTTTGTAAACTTAGTTTCCATGAAAGGATTTAGTCTAGCAAAGGTTCAGATACGTTATATATTGTTATTCATAAAGAAAGCACAGATGGCTGTGTGCAGTGGCTCATGAGTATAATCCCAAAGTTTTGGAAGGCTGAGGTGGGAGAATCCCCTGAGCTCAGGAGTTCAAGATCAGCCTAGGCAACTTAGTGAGAGCCCATCTCTACAAAAGAAAA